GAGTGTGGAGATAATAGCAGGAAGAACAATTGTTTATTTCATTTATGCGCTTTTTAAAAAATAATTTGAGCTTTGAGGAAAATAAGTTGGGTCCAAAAAGGTTATGGCAATTTCTCTTTAAATTTTATGACTCATGTCACAGATTGTTTCTTAAACTTCTGCATCTCTTCTGCCATCTGACTCCATTTTCTTTTCTCTCCAAACTCAGAGCAGCTTATCAGTGCTTGCATAAAGGCTTGGCAGTCATTGACAGCCATTCATTCTAACATTGGCAATGATATCTGGGGATTTGAAGTCAGATGTTAAAACTGGAACAGGAGATAGCAAGTAGGAAATAGAAAAGACATGGCTCTTAAAAGGATATGAATCTATAGAATTTGTGTCTGAGAGGCGATATTACGTAGTGGTGAAGAACACAAGTTTTGACTTTGAACAGATTTGTTTTCAAATTCTAGTGGCAATGCCAGTAAGTACTTCTACTTTCTAGATGTGTGGCCTTAATGATGTAACTTCCTATCTGTCAATTGAGGATAAAATTACTCACCTTGAGCATTGTTGAGAGACATAAATGAGATAGTGTAGCTGTATCAAGTAGAAGCTATGCTGACTGTGATATCCAAAATAGCTACTCAAGAGTACTCTCTTATTGCAGTATATTTTGTTCTTAAATAAAACACATTTTTAAATGCATTATTGGACTCATCCAATTTAGGGAAATCTCCAAGGGTATCTGCTTACCTTCTCCCCAACCCCTGATTAAAAAAAGAAAACACACACACACACACACACACACAAAACAGAAAATCAGGGAACTAAAACTAGACCAAGCACTGTGAACTATCAAATTCAGATACCAAAGCTTAGAACAGAAGACCAAACCCTGGACTCATCATATCAATGTGTGTCCCATATTAAGCCCTGAGAAGGGGCCTAATAAGGTCCCAGGTCAGTAGCAGCCCCTGGCTTCCAGTAGAAGCAAACACAAATTTCTTTGGGAGGAAAGCTCTCAGAATTTCCCATATCACGTTCAAGCAAATATAGCCCATAAGCAAGCACTCAAATGCACACAAGCCATCAATAGTGAGAGTTCTCAAAAACAAAAAGCAAACAAAAATAATAGATATAAATATGCAAGAACTCACTGGATTGTCAGATGCAGTATATAACTAAATATGCAATCTTTGTAGAAAAAATAAATAAGAACGAGAAACCTGGAAGAGAATTTCAAAATTAACTAGGTAGACTTGAAAAAAAAAACAAATTGAATTTTAGAAATGAAAAATGATGGTTGAAATGGACAGACATGAAATTAGACATAACTGAAGAGAGAATTGGTAAACTGGAAGATAGAGCAAATAACTCTCCAGACACTAGAATAGAAAATATGAAGGCAAGAAAATGAAACATCGAGGATGTTTTTTTTTCTTTTTCTTTCCCTTTGTGAAGCACTAATCCCCAGCATTAAATAGCAGATCAGATCAAACATTACTCTAAAAGCATAATTAGTACATAATTTATAAATAAATATTAGAATAGGCTAAATTCTCATGGTACTTTCACGCAGATCCACTGAGAGGGGGTTGTATCCCAGTGAAAAAGCCATCCCCTAGCAAAGGGTATCAG